GCCAGCCCTCGCTGTTATTGATGATGTCCCTTTAGCCAGCCCTCGCTGTTATTGATGATGTCACTTTAGTCAGCCCTCGCTGTTATTGATGATGTCACTTTAGCCAGCCCTCGCTGTTATTGATGATGTCATCTCAGCCAGCCCTCGCTGTTATTGATGACGTCATTTTTAGCCAGCCATCACTGTTATTGATGATGTCACTTTTAGCCAGCCCTCACTGTTATTGATGATGTCACTTTAACCAACCCTCGCTGTTATTGATGACGTCACTTTTAGCCAGCCCTCGCTGTTATTGATGACGTCACTTTAGCCAACCCTCGCTGTTATTGATGACGTCACTTTAACCAACCCTCGCTGCTATTGATGACGTCACTTTTAGCCAGCCCTCGCTGTTATTGATGATGTCACTTTTAGCCAGCCCCCGCTGTTATTGTTATCATTTTTAGCCAGCCATTGCTGTTATTGATGTCATTTTGAGCCAGCCCTAGCTGTTATTGATGATGTCAATTTTAGCCAGCCCTAGCTGTTATTGATGAGGTCATTTGATTGTACATTATGTAGTAGGTCATTCAACAAACTTTGTTATTACTATTACCAGGTTAGGTACTGCATTTTTAACCACCGGCCTTTTTGTATTTAGATTTGGTCTGATGTCGACACTAGGATTAAAGCTGTTATACCCAGTACAATGTTGTCATGGTCATCTTTACCTGTTAATTATGAAACAAGTTTTTTCAACTTATATTAATTAATCACTCTTGTCAGCCCACATATTAGCGCGTGGGGATCTTAATGTGGGACGAAACAGCAGAACACAGAGAAAACCCATGTGGTCGCGGACATGTAACCTTCTAAATTTTCAGTGCTTTCCACTGTGCACCAACCACCTTGCTTGTTGTATGGAGGAACCTAAATTTGAAATACGAGAGATGCTGATTTGTATAGTACTTCTAGGTACATATAGTGATACTGTCAAAATCCTAGATGGTTGCCTTGGAACCATTTTGTTTTTCTAATCGGCCATCTTCGCAATGAACCACACTTGTTGGTAAAATAGGCTGATCTGATTATCTCGTCACCAAGTGGGTTGGAATCCCTGATTTGTGTCGGTAATTTCATGGTATCAATCTTTGAATTCCACATTGTTCAGTGTACACCGGAGTCTGTACTATGTGTCTACTATCTCCCACTAATACTACATACATACAGGGGCACTCTTTGTGTTCTATTCCTCGGATTACATGTTGAAATATTCGGCAGAAGTGGCCATAAGAATTGCCGCCGGTGCAATAGGAAAAAGACAAGCAATAGAAGAGAATTTGAGGGAAATAACCCAAATAATTACCCTATATAAGGACTGGTCAAGATACTCACAGCATACTATCAGACAAATAATTACCCTATATAAGGACTTGTCAAGATACTCACAGCATACGATCAGACAAATAATTACCCTCCACTAATACTACATACATACAGGGGCACTCTTTGGGTTCTATTCCTCGGATTACATGTTGAAATATTCGGCAGAAGTGGCCATAAGAATTGCCGCCGGTGCAATAGGAAAAAGACAAGCAATAGAAGAGAATTTGAGGGAAATAACCCAAATAATTACCCTATATAAGGACTGGTCAAAATACTCACAGGATACGATGAGACAAATAATTACCCTATATAAGGACTGGTCAAGATACTCACTGCATACGATCAGACAAATAATTACCCTCCACTAATACTACATACATACAGGGGCACTCTTTGGGTTCTATTCCTCGGATTACATGTTGAAATATTCGGCAGAAGTGGCCATAAGAATTGCCGCCGGTGCAATAGGAAAAAGACAAGCAATAGAAGAGAATTTGAGGGAAATAACCCAAATAATTACCCTATATAAGGACTGGTCAAGATCCTCACCGCATACGATCAGACAAATAATTACCCTCCACTAATACTACATACATACAGGGGCACTCTTTGGGTTCTATTCCTCGGATTACATGTTGAAATATTCGGCAGAAGTGGCCATAAGAATTGCCGCCGGTGCAATAGGAAAAAGACAAGCAATAGAAGGGAATTTGAGGGAAATAACCCAAATAATTACCCTATATAAGGACTGGCCAAGATAATCACAGCATACGATCAGACAAATAATTTCCCTATATAAGGACTGGTCAAGATACTCACTGCATACGATCAGACAAATAATTACCCTCCACTAATACTACATACATACAGGGGCACTCTTTGGGTTCTATTCCTCGGATTACATGTTGAAATATTCGGCAGAAGTGGCCATAAGAATTGCCGCCGGTGCAATAGGAAAAAGACAAGCAATAGAAGAGAATTTGAGGGAAATAACCCAAATAATTACCCTATATAAGGACTGGTCAAGATACTCACAGCGTACGATCAGACAAATAATTACCCTATATAAGTACTGGTCATGATACTCACAGCATACGACCAGACAAATAATTACCCTATATAAGGACTGGTCAAGATACTCACTGCATACGATCAGACAAATAATTACCCTCCACTAATACTACATACATACAGGGGCACTCTTTGGGTTCTATTCCTCGGATTACATGTTGAAATATTCGGCAGAAGTGGCCATAAGAATTGCCGCCGGTGCAATAGGAAAAAGACAAGCAATAGAAGGGAATTTGAGGGAAATAACCCAAATAATTACCCTATATAAGGACTGGTCAAGATCCTCACCGCATACGATCAGACAAATAATTACCCTCCACTAATACTACATACATACAGGGGCACTCTTTGGGTTCTATTCCTCGGATTACATGTTGAAATATTCGGCAGAAGTGGCCATAAGAATTGCCGCCGGTGCAATAGGAAAAAGACAAGCAATAGAAGGGAATTTGAGGGAAATAACCCAAATAATTACCCTATATAAGGACTGGTCAAGATACTCACTGCATACGATCAGACAAATAATTACCCTCCACTAATACTACATACATACAGGGGCACTCTTTGGGTTCTATTCCTCGGATTACATGTTGAAATATTCGGCAGAAGTGGCCATAAGAATTGCCGCCGGTGCAATAGGAAAAAGACAAGCAATAGAAGGGAATTTGAGGGAAATAACCCAAATAATTCCCCTATATAAGGACTGGTCAAGATACTCACTGCATACGATCAGACAAATAATTACCCTCCACTAATACTACATACATACAGGGGCACTCTTTGGGTTCTATTCCTCGGATTACATGTTGAAATATTCGGCAGAAGTGGCCATAAGAATTGCCGCCGGTGCAATAGGAAAAAGACAAGCAATAGAAGGGAATTTGAGGGAAATAACCCAAATAATTACCCTATATAAGGACTGGTCAAGATACTCACTGCATACGATCAGACAAATAATTACCCTCCACTAATACTACATACATACAGGGGCACTCTTTGGGTTCTATTCCTCGGATTACATGTTGAAATATTCGGCAGAAGTGGCCATAAGAATTGCCGCCGGTGCAATAGGAAAAAGACAAGCAATAGAAGGGAATTTGAGGGAAATAACCCAAATAATTACCCTATATAAGGACTGGTCAAGATACTCACAGCATACGATCAGACAAATATATCACCAGATTACATTGAGAGGGTGCTGTGAAATGTAGTTACACATCAGTAGTTATGTATTACCTGACAGGAACAACATTGGTTTAATGACTGTTTGCTGTTATTTGTTTGTATTCTCACCCAAAAAGTTGCACTTCCAATGTAAATATGCGTGGGAGATGATCATCTAGATTTAATGTAAGCAGCACGAGACTGAACTCCGAGAAGCAGTGGGATACTGTTACGTTGAATGAATTTGGTATGACGTGGCTGCAAATAAGTCAGCCAATTTGTTACAAAGCTGCATGGGATACTAAACTCAAGGTTTTAGTACTAAATTGTTGAAGCATGTGTACTAGCGATAGATGGGGCTGCCATTCATATGTACCACAAGGCAGAACTATATATGTTTATACACCCATCCCATGCCAATCAGACATATACTTCTGATGTATATTGCATGACAATATGAAAAGTAAGAACTTTGTACTGTATTACTCAAGTTGAGAACTGCTCCTGTGATGTAGAGAGAAAACATACTGTACCAGACTAATTGGAGCTGAAGGAATGCCTATAAAATAAAGGGCCATAACTCTGTAAATTATGGTCGCATAATGGTGGTTATAAAACTTGTCCAAGCTGTCAAGGTAATTAATATAGCCCTTCTTTGAAGTTTGAAGTTAATCCATTGAATTTACTCTAAGATATTACGCAGACAGCGTGTGCTCCCACATTCTAGATCTCAATTCACAAGTGATCACATGTCCCGTTGATTTGTCTTGTGCCAACACAGATTAATTGGAAATTGTTGATTAATAGCAGAACACTACACATCAACTGCACACATCTGCTTACGTGTCTAATATCATACCTATTTCAACTACAGTTGTGATATAAAGCTTAAATAATATCCCGACAGAAAGCTGGTGTTAAAAAATCTCAGAGAATGTTTTCATTTGGAACAAAATAAAAGCAGTAAATGTCAAGTTTATTTTCAATGGTTCCTGTACATGTTTATTAGACAATTAGAACAGGCATTGGTTTACACATGTCCAACGTGATTCTAAAAAACAAACATTCATTTAAAATCAATACCATCATGTACAGTATAAACAATATGGTAGTACAAAGCAACTTCAATGTCTCCTTGTATTACATTCGGTACTACATCATTGTATAGTGGAACTGGACTGGGTCGATCGCCAGTGACAAGATAGACACACATTTAGTTTAGAGTATCTATGTGTTATCTCCCAAAAAGAAATTTCAAAAAGTTTGCAGGTATTATGAAGGGCAACTTGAATAGCTACCATCTGATGATGGTGATGGCAGGCTAACATGACACACACAGATATATTTCAATTGCCAATGAAGAATAAGTGTATCACCAACAACATATTCAATTATTTAAAAGAGAACCGAATGAGGTCAACCTGAATATCCACAGATTTTTGTTTATGGCACTTGTAGGTATTGTCAAGGTTAAACTTAAGTTCTGCTAACACTTCCATATGCACCTTGTAGTCTTTTGCCTTTTTCTCTATGTGTGCTCGTGTTGAGGTTTTATGGAGAGAGTACACTGCCGTTCTGGCCAAGTGTAGGCCAGCCTGTATAAATTTCATGTCAATGCCCTGATTCTTCTTTGTCCCAAACGGAGGATTCATGATCACTGTGTCAAAACTGTTCTCTCTAATTTCCTGACACATCTCTGTTGCATCCATCTGAATCAAATCTAGGTCAAGTTCAAAGTCCTGCACATTTCTACGACAAACATCCAGAGCATCAGTGTCAATATCTATGCCGACAACATGACAAGCTCCAAGCATCTTGGCCCCTATTCCCAACACTCCACATCCACAGCCGAGATCGGCAACAGTTTGATTGTGGATATCATCAAAGTTGGTGTGGATCATGTGAAGGATACAAGCTGCAATGTGTGGAGTTGTTGTATATTGTTCCAGAAGTATCTTTGGTGTGTCAAATACATCAACATCTTCTAGGTAGCTTTCCAGCTCCTTCAGATGCAGTCTTGACCTTTTAACAGCCATAGCTACAGTGCTCAACACTGATGGTCTTTCATCGTTCTGAAATCAACAACAGACTTTTCAGTAGATGGTCAATGGTAAACAGTGCTTACAGTCATAAAGTAAAACATCGTAATAATCGTATTCATGTTACATCAATTGCAATTCAAATTACAGGAATTAAGCACCGGCTACCTTTGTAATTCTGAAAATGTTCATTATTATTTTATAACCAAATCTGCACATGAAAAGTCTGTTGTTAATAACCATGTGTTTGTTATTAATTATGATTACTGCCAGTTCCGGTAATCGTTCACATCGACATCTGAAAGTATTTCAAGTAATGGCCTTACTCAAGTCTGATTTTTTTTATTTCTAAAGGGAGTAAGAGCCAGCTGAAGTCCATTAGCCATTAGTGCTGGGAATCAGTAAAATTTTCAAGATCGATAATCGCAACTCCACAATCGATCAATAATCGAGAAAATCTGATGTAATTGATCAGCCGACTGATGAGAAAATACTCGTTTCTGAAATCTAGGCGGAAGGAAGGATTCAATTATATCTGTGTTTTGACTCAAATCTTGACGACAACTAGGTGTACTCACGGCTGGTATTAATTACCCCAAGTTGAATATTCCAATCACTATAACATGGCATATCAATAATAATTTATCACGAAAAACACTGCTAGCTTCATTTTACTAGCTTTCAAATATGGCGGTTTCGGTTGATACAAAATGCGGATGTATGTATTATACGAAATGAATACAAGTGAAGCAACGAAAAGCAATTCCGCATTTTTACCATATACAATTTCATTTTTATATTAACCACCAAATTCATAATGTCAGTGCAGATGTTAGTCTGCTTCAAGTTAGAAAAGGATTACAACACAATTGAACATAATCGATCTTTCATCAGACAAATCGATTATTGGATCGGACCCTTTTCAAACTTGATTTAATCGATGTTTCCGATTATCGGTACACCACTATTAACCAGTATAGCTGGCCGATACCATCTAGGGTGAATAATTCTCATAGTGATTGTTTGGAAGGTATAGAACCCTGGAGTTACAAAATGTGCGACAGCTAGCACCTCATTGGTGGTAGTTTTTTGTGTTTCACAATTTGATTAAAATCATCTGTTACATGGCTCCGCCTGAACATCTGAATGTGCCGCGGTCAGGGCCGCGGTCAGGGTCACATTCAAGTGACCTTTAGATGAACCAATCAGAGGCGGGCTGGCAAAAGTTTGCCAGCGATTCGGAATATCATGGTTGATAGATAAATAGCGAGGAGTATCGAACAGTTTAGTTTTCCAAAACAAATATGGCGGCGGGAACTGACGTTTCTACGATGCCAACGTACCCATTGGGTAATTACGTAGGCAACACCGCCATACAGTCTTTCTTCTCTAATAAAGCTTGGAATATCTTTTTCTGTTCTGGTTTCAGATGATCAATCTCAAATAACTTCAGAACTTTCGCATCATTCTCATCAATGTTCGCCATATTTGTTACAACTCCTTAACAATTTAATGAGTATTTATAAATATAAAGGTCACCTGAACGTGACCCTGACCGTGGCACACTCAGATGTTCAGGTGTAGTACGAAGTTAACGAAGCCATGTAACATATGATTTTAATCAGATTGCATGTTTTATTACCCTGTTTTTATACCTTATATAATCGGCTGTGACAAATTGCTAATACAAGGTAAGGTAAGGTAACAGCATTTTTAAGGCAACCCTGGCTGCTACGGTTCCAGGTTTTAGGGCGAAACAACCTGTTACCAGCTGCTACTCCATCCAAGGTGATTGGTGTGACTAGACCACTGTCTGGTTTTGCTTTCTTGTTAAATCTCGAGGTCAAGGTTGTCAAGTACTCGGCTAAGAAGTGGTCCCATCCAGAGTCATCTGAGCATTGGCTCGAGATGGCTACCTTGGCTGAGCCAGTATCCCTGCAGTATTTTTTGGAGCACATAGAAAGTGAGGGTTTGGGTTACGAAGTGAATGACATTCTCGATCTATCCCCTTGGCACTCTAGATATCCAAAGCTCCTTTTTCAGATGGTTCTGCTTCTTACGCAAACTTGCCTATTATATGCCAGTTGGAGTATGGATTTGTTACTAAAAATAACCCAAATAGCTTTAATAATAACAGTAACTTTTGCATGATATTATTAAAAATCGCATTAATTTACGACACTTGTAAATAGTATTTTGCTAAAAGATGTTTACTGAAAGCGTTGGCTACTTAGAAACTTTATGTAACTTTACCGGAAATATTGCATCTATTTATGTTACTTTCCCACATGCAAATAAAGTTTATTTTTGCATTTGTATTATGTTTCATGACTGAATAAATGCGACTTGGACAAACTATTTGAAAAAGTTAAGACTAAAGTTATTTTGGCTATTTTTAGTAATAAATCCATACCCCTATTGGCGTATGATAGGCGAGTTTGCGTATTATACGTAAGTTAGTGGTTTTCCCCGACCTGTTAGATGTGGTAGCACTTATAGAGGTCCAGTGTTGCCTGCTTGTGCCAGCCACAACGGTCCAAACGCTCATATTGTTTAAAAGAATTTAATGTGTTTTCATTTCACATCATTCCCCATTTCAGTAATAAAATTGTTAATGAAATGGGTATAATTTACAGTAGGCCTTCAGTACCCATACGCTGTTGTGCCCAACCTGGCACGTGCACGATATAATATAAGACTTCTACGGGATGGTTCAATGACAATCTCGTTTGATATGATCCTGCTGTAATTCTCAGATATGTAACCTATGGTCTAACTACCTTCAGAGACTAAATTATCACAAAACCATTGACTTACCTTATTTTAATGATGTTGCCTACACATGCCACTCACGCCAACATGAATATTGTAGAGGAAACGGAACTCTCCTCAAGTAAGCGCAGAAGCGGATACTACCATGTGCATATAT